GAAACTCCGCCCCAGAAAGCGGGTTAAGGCTAGCAGATGGCGTCTCTCACGAGTCTCACAGTGTCGGAAGTGCACACGGCTAACGTGTTACTATAAACAGGCCACACGCTCAGCGACGGCTGGTCCCACGCGTGCTCCCTGGTGCTCCACGCCAATGGCTGACACATGTAAGGCAACGTGACCCACGTGTGAGAGGCAGGGCACGAAGGTGCTAACAGCTTCCCCCCACCAGGCCATGCGCATGAGGTGTTATTGTCAGAACCAGCACATAATTAAAGGATGATGTAATCCTGATGTAAAAGTCACCTGGGTGGAGAATGATTCGTTTACTCTGCTTCCTCTTTACCCCCCACTGAAGGCCACCAGGAGACGAAGACACCTGACAGTCATCATGTCTGCAGCGGCAAAACCCCCAGACCCACCCCTCGTTTCTGTGTGTGAGCCTCCCCCTTCGCTGCCGGAAACCGTAAACAGTGGTTTCCATGGCAATCCAGCAGCCTGCAGATGACAAGGTAGCAGGTAGAGCATCTTTTTTTGAGGCATGGATCTCTTGCATAAGGATCTTCACAGAGGCCCAGGACACAAAAAACTGGGCTTTGGGGGGGGGGGGGCATTTGGCGAGCCCTGAGATTCAGATAGTAACCGCTTTTTCTTCCATCGAGGTTCATAATTAAATGTAATAAGCTCACTGTTAAGATGCAATAGATGTGTTTTTGTGCCGCACGGGCTACCTGGCACATTCAGTAATAGTTTTGTTCCGCCATGGAGTTTTCCTAAAGCTACAGTTCAGCTGTTTTGCTCGCTCAGCCTTTCTGGTCATGTGTGTGTTTTTTTCCTCGTTCCACTAGCTGAGCAGATGGCTGGTCCGGCCGGACGGGCCAGCGTCGCAGGTGTGGCAGTGTTGCTGAGGGCAGAGGCCCACGCTGAAGAGCCAGGCTGCACGGCCCGGGCAGGCTGAAGAACCGAGCGCCGATGTTACCCTTTAAACGGCCAGCGAGTCCTGGCTAGTCTCGGAATGGCTGGCTTTGCTCAAACGCCCAGACGCGACGCTCTCACCAGGCACGGCCACGGTCAGAGGGTTTGTTGACGGGGAGAGTCGGCGTGGCATCCATGTGCAGGGTACAAACAAGGTGTGGTGACCCTATGGAGCAGAATCCCTCCATGTCAGGGGGAGGAGCCTGTCGCCACAGACAGGTGCAGAGAAAAAAGGTCCCGTCCGCTACCCCCGGCCATCAGGCCAGCCACCTTCTCTGGGTCCTCCATTATCAGTTTAGTACTGGTCTACATATTTTTGTTATTTTGGTCTGGCTTCATGCTGGGCCATGATGCGATTTCACAAAGTTATTAGACCAGAAACGTCACGTGTTTCTCCAGGAAGATGAATGCGGTCGTCCCTGCCTCCCTCCTACCCCAACACACAATGTACAGAGCTGAGCCACCAATCAGGATCGCCCTCACTCTGAGGTCAGTTTACTCTGACCAATGGCAAGTGTTCAACTTGTGTCGCCCATGGCTACATGTTGGGCATGTCCCATTGGTTAATTCATTCATACCTCTCCTTAACTACATGACATATGAACATTGAAATCAAAGCTTACATCAGCTTTTTGTAGCAGAATAAGGGGTATCAGACCATCCAGCTAAATCATTCCAGGGGATAGAAAAGAAAACAATAGGGAAGCTGTTGCCTTGCTTGTCAAACACAAGGTAAGTGGTGTTTCTACGAGTGGATTTCATACAGCTCCATTTATACACAATATTGCAGAAGAGTAAGATTCTGTATTGCTTTTGTACAGAAAAGGCTGTTCCGTTCTCTAGGTAGAAAGTATTTCCTACCATGAACTCATGTCTTCAAGATCAATTTGTGGGTTCTCAGCAAATGCCCAGGGGTGCATGTCATTTAATGTGCATAATTGGAATTAAATGTCAACTGAATACAAAACCCGAAGACATAATCATGCTGCCGTGCATAAACAAAATTATACACTCTAAAGAAAAATGACACGAAGCTGAATTTTCTGCGGCACAACTGGCTTGGGTGGGGGGTCACGTTTGCAGTTCAGACCAGCACCCAACACGTTATATCACATGACTTTACAGGACCAATACAAAAGGGAAGGTAACCCAGGAGGGATGTGCGAGGCAATTGCAACAGTGTTGTCAACATCCTTACATTTTCAGACAGGTGTGGGTCTCTCACTGTTGGCAGCCACAGTGGAGGATCTACGTAATGACAGGTCTTGCAGATACTCACCCTGTTTATGTCAGAATTAACCGGCACCTCCCATCTCTAAACAGACACACTCAGTATCGTTTCATTGAAAGCGGTAACATTACCCAATTTCCAACACAAATCACTGAAAAGTACCACATTACTCTAAGGTGTTTAATTCTCAGTATTTGCATGGTGAAGCAGTGGGTAACTTAAACGTGTTAATGAAGCAAGGGGAAAAAAGTGTTTTGCTGCCCTCTGCTGACAAAAATAAAATACAGACTTCCTCTGCGCGTGAGTCCAGCTTGCAAAGCAGCGTGTTTCAGGAAAATCTGAAAGCAGGTTAAATGCCGCTATATTTTGAAAACTGTGCTCTTTAAACAGACTTTGATGCCTGCTTCTCCAACTTTTGGAATCCAACAGCCACTGACACAGGAAGCTCCTAGACAGGGATCAACTTGACAATTTAGCGCCAAGAAAGCAAACACTACAGAACCGGGATTCCGAGGAAGAGTCCGACATTCATCAGCAAGAGAGGTGGAGCCCAGATGAAGCCAACCGCAAATGACTGCCTACTATCCAGGGGTGATCATTTTAGCAATAGCAGGGAGGGCTAATGACCAGTAACTGCCATAAGCAGCACGCGTCATCACTTTTTAAACCTTCATATGTAATTTCCCCACATAATACAGCAGTTGGTTAAGGCACCATAATATTTTGATACTGTGATGTGGTCTGTGACACACAGGTCACTTCAAAGTGAAATCTTGCTCATATTGAGTATATCTCTTCGTGTATAAAGGCAATCTTCACTGGAGCTTCGCTATAAAATACCAAAGGCGTTCTGAGGAGATCAGCAATGGCCCCGGGTGCTGCGCTTCTGTTCTTAGGACATGACAATCTGCACACAACCAGCGATCACGCCTTACCGCTTCGCCGACTCTCGGGGCTCCAAATGAAATGTCAAGCAAAGGTTAAAGGTTAACAGCGTTCGTCGTGACTGAGTCCCTCTATGACGCAGGTTTCCACGGCCCAGCTTCAGCCCACATGCATGTTTACACACACAACAACGTGCATGTTATATGACCTGTCATTATGCTACATATACTGTATAACTAACCATGGGCGTCGTTATAGTCTGATCACTTGGGGCCCCTAGTATGTTACCGCCGAAGCCAGTTTTCCTTCAAAAGAAAAAAAAAACATAAATCCCCGGGGAAACTTGACTTAGCCCCTGATATTTTTCAGCAGCTAAAAACGCCCCTGCTTCCAACAATAAATAACCTGCAACTGGATAAAAAAAAAGGGTTTACAGGAGCAAAGTATGCGGGTCACAGCGGTGCAAGGTGGCAGGAAACGTCTATCGCCGGAGGAAACCAATGTGAGGAGAAGCGGCTTTAAGGCTCGGGGGTGGGGTGTCTGCTTGTACAGCCGTGACGTGAGATGGGGAATGTAAACACGCACATTACAGGAAGGCATTGAGCAAACGACCTTACCGTGCCGTCTCTAAACACTTGCCTCGGAGGAACTTGAAAGTACACAGGGGGATCGCATTTCCATTTCACTTAATATTATTATTTTAACCTCCCCCCATTACGGTCAGTGGTACAGCCCGTACGTATAATGACAGAAAAGGACATTCATCAATCAAACCAGAAAATAATCAATAACCACAGCCCGTGGAGGTAACCACACGCCAGTGTTTCCAGGACTGAAATTTAATCTCTGAAAACACTCTGCTGAACTGCCCGAACCAGCCATAAACAGAACATCTGTACCGTACTTTGCATATATATTTAAAAAGGGAGGGGCTAGTTATTTCCTCTTCTTTAAATATCAAAATATTGCAAGTGGCCTCGATTATTTTCATTTAAATAAAGAAAAGCAACACAGCAATGTTACTTGGCTTTACATCATTAGTCAGCGAGGCTCATGAGCAAACGGTTATATTCACATTGTTCAGCAGGGGGCAGCAGTATTGTACCCCATAAATGTAGTGTCCTGTATAAAACAGCTGGATAAATGTTTAACACAAAATTCATTTAAAAAAACAGAATTTTGGGGGAAAAAAGGTGTGTGGCTCTTTCGATTACTGTCATCAAATTACAATATCATCACTAACGATCATTCACAAAACTATATATAAAAATAAGTGTAGACGTGTTAACAAACACGTATTTGGACACATCACGGCTGCAGCCGCCATTTCCGTCTTTTACCAACAGTTATAAAAACCTAACAGAGTAACTCGTCAGGCTGTCCTGAATGATCACGATAAAAGCATCTCTCCAGAGTAAAGCAACATTTACGTAAGTGCATACATGAGACATCACCGCGTGCAGCTGCTTACAAAGTATTGCATATGCTTAAAAAGAAAAAACTCGAAAAATACGGATGTTTTTTTTTTTTATTATTATAATAATTTCCAGAGAATACTATAAAGAAGTATGCAGCCTACGTGTAATAATAATAGAGAATATAAACAGCTCTAAAAGACTATATTACCGCTGGGCATCAGTCATGGAGGACCGACAGGACTCTGTGTCAGAACCAAACCCGAAGCGCGCTCCCAGCGCCCGGAAAACGCGTGGCAGAGCGCGCACAGGCAGGCGCCCGCGGCAGTGCGGACGGGAGCGGCGACAATCACTTTACAGCACGATCCGTCCCCATAACAAAGCGTACCCCATCCTGCTATTCCGACGGCCCTCTGCAAACACGTTATGAATACTAGAAGAGCCATGGAGAAACCATAGAGAATCAAATACATCATCAATCAGAGAGAAAAAAAGGCATTTGTTAAAACGTTTAATCATAAACGTCACTTTTAGCAGTCTGCTAACCTAGTTCATTTTTTTGCAGCCAGTCGTTTACCACACGTATTTCTGGTTAATGTGTACACTTTAATGGAATTACAACCTGTTATGGTGCCAAGGTTATACTTGGAAATCCAACAAGTAATAGGGGCTTAAAGTAGGGCTGAACAAATAACATAATGTTCTGCAACAGTGACACCTTAATTCTAATAACTAACTTCAGCATCTACTTCAAGTACATTTTAATATTCTTCTAAGGTTACACTGATGCTTCTAAACTTTTGTCTGGCTATGATTTGCAGTAATGGTTCGTGTGTGCGGTAAATATTAAGCCACCACAACAGAATGTTCACATGAACAAATCATACTGGCCGATGAGATGCAGCACAACCGTAAGCCTGATTTTCATGTTTGCTAATTTTTTTTTTTTTTAAAAAAAGACCCATGTATGATGAACAAAATAAAATGAGGCGGGTCTCTCTCCAGCTAGCTGTGTGCTTTGCGGTATGTGAGCTTCCTCCGCAAAAATGTCAGACCCATCGGAACCAGGCAGCAGCAGTTTGGTTCCCCCAGTGAAGCTGTGGAACGTGCATTAAGGTTTCAGAGGCTGCCTCTAGGCCGGGAGGGGGGAGTAGGGCTGGCATGGACAGTCAGAAAGTCATTTGACCCAAGAGTGTAGTTTTAGATCAGTTGTTCTATCGGGCAATCTTCTCCTCCACCTCGGTGATGGATATGAATCTGGGTCGTCTTCTCACCTTCCGCTTGGTATTGTGCTTGGGGTTCCTCTGGTACATGTCTGCAATGGCGGCAGGAGAACGGTCAGACCTGCAGCTCTTTCAGCACCATCTCAATCCAAACCATCCTAACACGACTCTCTAGGGTTCCCTGTCTAAGGTCAACGAGGACCTGGTGAAAAGCATTCGCTCAAAAGTGGCAGCTCTGGAGGGGGCCAAGGGGCTGTAGGTATTCTGGAGTACACCCGCATCTCCATTCCAACGACCAGGTCGTTAAGTAAAAGGGTCACTAAGTGAAAATCACAGTAGACTAGGTGTCACCACGACTGTGCTGCTGCTGTTCCATTCAGACGACGTTCTCGTACAGTTACGCCAGCATCACTCTCACTCCAGTGTGCACAGTCGTCAGGCGTACAAAACTTGGTCATAAATGAGCGCATTAGTCAGATTTTTTTTATATCGTCATATTTGCAAATGATCACTAAATCAGGTAGCTAAACGAGGGCAGGGTGTAGGTATTTTTTTTACACCAGTGTCATTTTTTCCTGTGTCACTTCACACCAGTAATGTGTAAACACAGGTATATAGCAGGTATATAGCCCACTTCTTATAGTGCAACACAGCATATATGTTAAGGTGAGCCGACTGAAAAAACCAAGCAAACGTGCATTTGTCTTGTAGGCTGTATTGCAGAAGATATACAAGCATCATTATCAACTAAATTGTCACTTAATTTCATTTTCATTTCATTGAAAACGCATACTGTGTGCTCACATCAACAGCAGGAAGTGACGAGTACAAGATTTGACATGGCGGTTCGCTATGTCAGCGTCTGTATTTCATCATCAGGTTACGGCTTTGAGGGTTACCTTGGAAACTCAGGTAGTACTGCCTGTGGCCTTTCATCACGGTAATTTCGGCGTTGCTGTCGGTCAGATAAGCCACCTCCAGGTCTCTCGACGTCAGCGAGGTCACGCGCTGCTTGTCGTCCTGAGAGATAGAGGGTCCAAGTTCACGTTCCGGGTTCAAAAACAGCCAAAATGATGGCCGGACGGCGGCATTCTGAAACTCACAGCTTTTCCATATTCGATCCAGAGCCACTGGGTCGTCAAAATGTAGTGTGGCGGCTTGTTGACTGAAGAGGCCGTGGATAGACGGCGGACTGGGTCGGAATCCCGGGTCATGGTAAGGAAGTCAACAGGCCGGGACCCTGGGCTACAGAGAACAAGAGATGTCCAGACAGAGACCCCAGAATCCCCCTAAATGGGCACGACATCGGTGTGAGACAGGAAGGAAGACACACCTGTGTGTGTTTCGGGGGTCACAGTATGTCCTCTCGATCTCCTCCATGTGCCTCAGGTCTCTCCAGCACTCCCCGTCAAACACCTCCCACTTGTAGGGGAGGTTAAAATGGATGCGAATGCACTGATCTGGGGGTTGTTATGATGTCATTACTGAGATCAATTAACATAACGTAAATGTTGTCTTTGAGAAGGAAGAAGTGGAGGAGGAACTCACCTTGAAAGCGGCAGTTCCTCCGTAAGAAATGAAGGCAAATCTCGGTCCTCTCCTCACTCTGAGGGGCAGGCCTGACCATGGGTTCGAGCGCCATGCCCTCTGGAAAGGACACACAAATTGACGCACGTGCACGACCATTTTTTAAATTTTTTGCTGCACTTGGGTGCCCTCTACAGACCTCGCTCGGGGTACGGCGTGTTCAGGCTGAGCCGGTAGACGTTCTTGTAAATAAACGGCAGGTCGTGGATGATCTCGCCACTGAGGCCACGCTCCTCCAGCATGCGCCGGCCGTACTCGTCGACCGCGTGCAGCCGCTTGCAGCGATGGCCGAACCTACAGTCGTCCTGGATGAAGTGCTGGCAGATGTGCAGCTTGGTGCAGGTGGCCTTAAAGGTGCAGGCCCCGTAAGGACCCGAGCCCTTGTTGTAATGGGAGCACACCTGCGCGAGGGGGATAGAGAGCAAAGCGGGGTGCCGTCAAACTGGCAAACGGGTGCAAAAGTGTGACTGCGTGCCTTTAAGAGGCGGAGCTCTGCGTGAACACACAGAAGAGCAGTTTATAAATGACACCAGCCGTGGTTTAGTGTCCACAAGGTGCACACCAAGTCATTTTTACATTACCTCGCATCTTAGGACATCCTGGGCACAAACACTTTCACCAACAGGACCACTGCATGTTTGTTGTTGTTTTTTTTTTTCCTTTTTTTTTTTATTCTTTTTTTATTATTATTTTTGCTTTGCAATCAGCTCCGGGCATGACATTTCCAACACACTTTTTCTTACACGGGAAACATCCTTCAATTACGGGCAGGTACCGAATCCAGCTTGGAGAATTCTTCATCCATACTGCAGACCAGAAAAAAGATTATTTGTCTTCACTGGAATTCTTTTTTTTTTCTTTTTGTATTTTTTAAGTTTACTTTGTTCTTGTTTTTATTGGGATAGACTCACTTGAATGATAGCTACTATTTAAGAAATATTAGTGCAAACAAACATTAAAATATTTACTGCAGCTTCTTGTTGGTTTCATTTTGTTTTCTTTTTGTTTAGTTTTTTTTTTTTTACTGCACCAAACTGCCAGAAGTTAGTCCCTGTTTTTGAGGTGATTACAGTCAACTGCTGCGTCTGTGCGTTGTTCCAAGCCAATCTGTAACTTGTTCTTTAACATTACTACTCTGATACACGTGGATGACACCATCATCTGCTATCTGCTAAGCAACTGTCCCTTATTCCCGAAAAACGAATCTCCGGGTCAAGTTACTCTTGGTTAACATGCATTTCAGCTTAAAAAAACAAAAATAATAAAAAAATGAAAACAAAAAAAGCCTTTGTGTACAGTCGATGGCAGGAGGAGGAACCTCAATCACACGCATCACTACTATGACCAGATCCGGTACACGCCTGGTGACTGGTTGACCTTTGAAAGTACATGGAACACACTTAGATGCCGGTAGTGTCTCAGGGTAGGAATGGCTGTCAAATTGGAAGGTTTGCAAATTAGAGACAAGTTTAGATACTGATTCCAATAATAGGCACAACACAATGCTTTTGACAATTAAGAAAATATATCAACTGCACAATTATCTAATTAGACTAATTAAAAAAAATCTATTAGTATTATATAGTGAAAATGTGCATAACATCTAACCCACTTATTCCAATGACGTCAGCGAGCCCCGAAGACTGAATTGACGTAGCCTGTATGTGCGCTCTGGGAGGGGCGCTCTCACCTCGGGGAGGAGAGTGGGATCATTCTGAAGCAGAAGCAGGAAGAGGTCCTCTTCGTGCAGCTCGTGGAGGGTGCACTCTCTCAGGAGAGGATAGTTGTGCTCGGATCGGACGTCGTGCGAGAACTTACACTGCTTCCTAAGGGGGGAGGAGGCCGGAGCTTTAAGAATAATAAGGCGGGATGTGGACCTTCAGTGAGCAGGCAGCGCCATAAGTGTTAAGGAGATGTGGTTAAAATGAATGGGGACTTATAAACCCGGGATTCTCCACATCAGCAGAAACTGCAGCCAAATAGGAACAAGGGACAGCCATCAAAAAGCAGGATAGCACTCAATGGCAGACTACAGTTTACTTCATGCAGAGGCACGATTTAGCATGCACTATGCAATAATTAGATTTTACTGCTATGACTCTAAATATGAATCACGTATGCCCTTTTATTTGAGTAGTTCCAAATGGCTACAGGACATTTTCCAAGGCGGACATATTTGCATAATAATGCGGAAACGAGATAAATAACAGCTTTCATTGCAGAAGTGATAACGGCCTGAAAAGACGTTACTGTCCATTTACAGGAGCTGAAACTGAAACGCCGTTTAGCGCACGTCGCTATTGGTTTTCGGTGATTCAACAATTCGCTGCAATTAAGACAACAAGGAACTAACAGTGTTGTTACTGTCTCTCATTCTCTCATTCTTAAACGACGGGTAAGATCTTGTAAAAAATATTTAAATAACAATAAAACCCAAAAATACATCGAATAAACGTGCCAAGCAGTTATTTTGTTCCAAGGCCAATCCGTCCATTCGGCGTTAGCATGACGTTGCAATGACAGAAGTTGTTTCTGTAAACAAACACCTTAATAAATGCAACAAGGTAATAACATTTACGTGGACAGACTGTGGTTTCGGGGCTTGAAAAGGTGACTGCTATGCTAACGGATTAGCTTCACAAATGGCGTGCCTCGCGGGGGTGGGGGGGGGGGGGGGTGTACTGCGCTCGCGCGTCTGCCCCCTTTCCGCTCCGTTCCTCACCGTCCTTTGCCGTATCTGCAGTTTCCGTACACGAAATATTTGCAGAGGTGCAGCTCCTGGCAGTCACCGCACTCGTATTTAGTATAGTTCTTGCAGATCCGCAGGGACGTCTTGGCGACCACCGTGCAGTCGGATCCCCAATCCTCCGGCCCCCGCTCAGAGGCGCCGGCGCTCCTCACCACGGCAAAGCGTGGACATTTTCTTACTATGTACCAAAAGTCGTTCTCCGTGATGTCGAAACGGCGGAAAACTTTCCTGTAGAGCTCCACGAGGTCCATGGAGCCCTTGTTGCAGCACAGGATGCTGGTGGCGTAGTGGATCACTCTGGCGTAACTGGCGTAGGACATTTTGCTGGCCGATCGGACAGCGGCGGCTGTCGGCAGCGCGCAGGAACGGTCTGGAGCCTCTATGCGATACCAAAGGGAATCTCTCTCTCGCTTTCTTTCCTTTCCTCCTTCCCTCACCCCTCCCTGTCTCTCTTTCTTTCTCTCTCTGCGCAGGCTTGAGGATCGGGCTGAATGACGATGCTCTCAGGAAAGCCACCGCCCCATCACCACAAGCCCGAAAGCGGGGCACTTTCCCCTTTAAGCACAAGTGTTACCGTAGTGCATCACCACACCAATAATTCATGGTGTTTAACTGACACTTAAAATGCAAGCGTTTACTACTCCAGTTTGTGGTTTTTGTGATTAAATTTCTTTCCTTTATTATTTACTTAGGATATTAATGAAGATTATACAGCACTTATTTCTTTATATTTTAACTGTTATTAATTTCAGTGTTTTGTGGAGTACACACTGCAGTTGGTCGTTATGTGTAATCGATACCCATTGTCTCTTTTGGTATACAGGTGACGCGGCCATTCCTGCTGGCCTTAAAGCGAACTGGGAGCGTCTAGAACAGAATCCGAAAGTATGAAGTCTGTTGATGCTTTCGTTTCTTTGTATCTTACACGTACGTCATTAAGATAATAATTATGAAAATGTCTTGATGTATTCTGGCATGTGATACACATCCTTTGTTATTTTTAGATACGTCAGTTTATTTGTATTGTAGTGAGTGTGCGGAACATTTTTAAAATAAAGGAGACGATCGCTCGATTAAAAATGGAGAATTAATCTTTGTTACAACTCACTACAGTCTGCCTCAGCGCAGGTACAATATCGAAAACATGCACATTCCAATATAGCACAGTTGAGACAATTACTATTGACAGCATAAATACACGAAAACACATTCATTTACACTATTTACAGATGCGCTTGGAGCAATGCAAGGCATGCTTTTACAGCACATAATCGGTCCTCCCGCCCGACCGACATCACATTGCCCCCTCCTAAGAGGTCAGCGATTCATAGCAACCCCCTCCAAGTCCACCACAAAGTCCCACAAACACGGTGGAAGCTGGTGTTGTTGCCGTGACCGCTCTGCTAGTCTCTGGGGTGTGCTATATACCTCCATTTCATGGAGTGTCCGGTCTGGCTAAGCGGCGAGGCGGGGCCACAGTCTTTCGTCGCTTGGGCAGCTGCCAGCAATAGACGAGGGCAGAGAGGTGCTTGAGGTTCTCCCCCAGTCATCTTCAGCTGCTGTCCAGCTTAGGTGACTACCCCTTCCCTATAGATGGAACAGGACACTCAAACTTGGATTCCTGATGCTGAAGTACTGCCCACAGCTGTGTGCATCATAGGAGCGCTTCTGCCAGGCGGTCGGTGCACCTTGGTGTTGCCGGATCAGCAAGTACATGTCCCTCGGATACTCCCGGAGACACCGCAGGTACTCCATACCTGGCTCCTTCAGTACCTGCAGCTCTAGGGGTGGCCCGAATGCTGAGGTCACAGTGCGCAGTTCCCGCCCAAACATCAGTGCAGCTGATATGCAACAAGTGATCTCCTGTACCGCTGCACAGTATCCCCAGTGGACCAAGGGCAGGTGCTGGTGGTGATCTGTGCAGTGAGAGCAGTGCGCAAACAGTTCTGTGCCCTGGCTGCAGTTGGGCCATGCACCATCGATGGTCTGTAGTTCCTCACTGCTGGTGTCCTGCTGTATTGCCACCACAACCCACCTCTGGCTGTGCTCCTCATCGAGGCAGCAGTGACATCAGTCGTCCATTTCTCAGCAATGAGAAAGAGCGTCTGTTTTGCCTTTGAGCCTGCCCGGCCAGTACTGCACCTCAAAGTCATACCCTTGGAGGACCTTCAGCCAGAACACCAGCTGTCCTTTGGGGTTGTAGAAGTTGAGCAATCAGTTGAGAGAGACATGATGAGTGTGCAGGAGGAAGTGCTGTTCACAGGGGTACGTGCGGAAATGGCAACAGGCTTGGATAATTGGTTGGAGTTCATGCCAGGTTGTGCAGTAATTTCTCTCAGGGCGGTTAAGCATCCAGCGGAAGTACGACACCAGCCTCTCCTCCCTGGGACCCCTCCTGTGCCAGGATGCAGAGCCGCTCGTTACTGGTTTCCGTGGAAACAATGACGGGGAGTGCCGGATCGAGATACACCAAGAATAGGGACTCAAAACGTACAGTCCTCGGGCAGTTAAAGGTGGTGGCACAGGCTTTGGACCTCTCAAAGACCCACCCCTTTCCAGCGAGCTGGTGGAGCGACACGGCGCTTTATCGTGTCGATAAAGTTTCCTACAAGCCGCCAGTAGCGAGAGGTGAAAGCAAAGAAACTGCAGAGCTCTATGA